CCAGCATGGCTGGCTGGGGAGTCCTGGGAGTTGAAGTCCACATATCTTAAAGTTGCCAAGGTTGAGAAACACTGCTCTTGAGTAGATCCTTTGAACTCCAAGTCTTCAATTTTGGGAAGGCTAAAATTGGCTTGTGCCATAAGCCTCCTTTGACTAATACCATATGATTTGAATTCTTTGCAAACAACTGACTAAATTTGCCCTTAATAATGGAATTTATTGCACAGCTATCATATTTGCCAGGTAAAATATAACCTATCTTATTTGTGGTCTCCACAATTTTGGGAGCATATATGTATTGACATTTTGCAATCTTAAATATTTTTCAATGCCATGTGAGAACATGGGGTTTCAATAAAATATTTGCATTTATAATGCACAACTATGTAACACACACTTTGTTTATCAGGAACATGGTATCTTGCATATATATGATTTCCAAAATTAATCCCTTGTGTATGTTGGCTCACATCACATAACAAGCCTGTGCAATTAATATTTCAAGCCAAACACAGCTTATATGCTTGGTACAGCAGCTTGGCAGGAAATTTTAACACAGCTTTTTTTTCCTTTTACCACCCTAGGGAGGTTCTGAGGCATCTGGTAACTGATATAAATTGCATCACAAGTAGCACAAGTCTTAGAAATCTGTATTAATGGGTACATGGTGCAAGAATCATGTGGCACCAATGGCTATGACCCTCACAAGTGTACATTAAATTGCTGTGTTAGCATGGAGATACAGTGATAGATATTCCATCTATTGGATTTCTATCTGCTACCTCTTGAGAGTACAGTATACATTTCCTGGCCTCAAACCAGTTAACTGATACTGGCTAAATTCCACTGAAACCCAAGGATCAAAATGTTAACTACAAAGGCTGACTCTTGTAGAATCTCAGCCAATCAATCCCCACGTTGCAAAAAGTGCAGTAATACTATTCACTGCATTAAAACATCACTGTAATACACAGCATTGTGTGCTACAGGCAAATATCAGATGTGCTGCTGGCAGAAAAGAGTTTGCAGAGCAAATGCTTCAAAATGACTTGGATCACACATTACCCAAACCCAAAAGATGATTTGCTTGTTTTGGTTTAGCAACTGTGGTTAGTAAACCACAATTTTTGACTTATATTGTTGTGCAAAATCAGCTGATTGTGGTTTATTAAATAAATCTTGATTAAACCAATAGGGCCTAATGCAATGTGTAAATAACTTTCTAGCACCTTTCCTTTGTATCTTTACAGAATCCTGAGTTTTAGAGGGGGGAATGCCTGAGATGCTCAGTTTTTTAAATCCGTTTCCTTGAACTGTAGTAGTGTTGGGGAAGACTCCTGGGAATACCAGGGAGACCCAAGAAAATAAATGGAAATCAAATCAATCTAGAGTACTCACTCAAAGCTTAAATGACCACATTATATGAAGGCTTAGCTTTTCTAAGAAGTTAATAGATGGAAGGAAAGAAAGGAAGGAGATAGATCATCCTGGAGAAGGTCTATGTGATTACCAACTTGATAGCACATAATCAATCAATTGATCTGTAGTTCTGCCAGCTGCTACTTTTTGGAGTCCACTAACACAAAGGCAAGAGTAGAGCTGGACAGGTGGAAAAATGGGTCAAGCAGACCAGTGCCTGGAGATAAACAGTGATCTGAGGCCCACCTCTGTCCAGGAAGTTGCCCTGAAGATATAACTTGCAACTGTACAAAAGTCCGATCATTTAAAGGAATGGCACAGACATTTATTAACTGGAGCTAAAACAACATAATTTCAGATGAACTGAAGACAAGATCTGCATGAAACTCTCGGACTGACTGTTCTGCCAGCCTAACTTACTTCACAGGGTTGTTGTGAGGGGATATAGGAAGATGTTGAATTGTATACCTTACTTTGAGCAACTTTGATATTGGCTAGTAAATATTTGTTAAATGTTCTTTTATTAATTATACAATGAATGTTGCGCAATCTTCTGCAGGAAGTTTCCAATGGAACTGGATAATATTTTTAAAATAATAAATGTTCCTAGGCCTCACGTTAGTGTGTATGTGTGATGGTTGCCTTTAGTCCATGCTGTTATGTTTTGTTGTCATGTTTTTAACTGTTTTAATTTTGTTGTTGTAAGCCACCCAGTGTCTTTTGGAGCGGGCGGCCATGAATGTCCAAACCATTCTCTGTCCAAACCAAGCATAACTGTATCTTAATCTGATGGTCTGAGCCACAAGCCCATTTTTGCCTAGTCTAATGTCTTGTAGAAACCGAGTCACTTTTGCTGGTTTCTTTATAAATACAGAAGTGATGAATTATAGAAGGTGAAGTATGTTAGACTCAATAATGTTTAGTTTTTGTCCTTGCTCTGCCTATTTGGGGAACCTAATTAAGAATTAAAATTAAGTTAAATCAATTAAATGCAATTAAAATTTGGACCCATGTCAGGTGCTGGACCTGGGCATGGGACAGAGATGGTATTGGTCACTTTGATCGATGACCTATACCTGGGCAAGGGTAGTGCACCATGTTATCTTTATGGACTGGCTGTGGGGACCGGAGGCCCTGTTTTATGATGGTTCTGCTCCTTCCACAGCCATCAGTTCCAGTCAGTGGTGGTAGTGGTGGGGGGAGATTGGCACCATGGTTGCTCCCTTATGGGGCTGGTTCTTTCCCCCTTGTACATCTTCTACATGAAGCTGCTGGGGGAGGTCATTCAACAGTTTGGGGTCTAGTATCATCAATATGCTGATGATAACCAACTATACGTTGTGATACCCAGGGTGGGCTGAAGACGCTGGTAATGTCCTGTCCTGGTGCCAGGAGGTTGTGGGGGTCTGGATGGCAGAGCTGACTTAAACTCAACTCCAGCAAGATGGAACTACTGTTTATACGCTGGAGTTTCCCTACACCTCCTATTTTGCCTGTGGATGGAATTGCACTGCCCATGACGAAGCAAGTGTGCGACTTTAGGGTCTTCCTGTACTTATGGGTCCTGTGGGGTCAGCAGATGGAGGTCACGGCCAGAGATGCCTTTGTCCAGCTCCAGCTTATCACCTTATTTGGGACAAGAGGACCTGACTACTCTAGAGGACCTCATGCTCTACGTGGGGCTGGCTTTAAAGACAGTAAAACAAGCTGTGGGTTTATAAACCAAAGGGTTGGGTTCAAGGAGGAAAATGTCAGAAGCAAACAAGCCAAATTTTGGCTTAGCACAATGTATGAACCCAGCTTAAGCACTGCATAATGCAGTCACGGTGGCTTGTAGTCAGCAAAGGAGCCCCTTTTTAAGAGCATTCCGTCATATCTCAGAAGAGTTTTCCTGCCAATGAAAAAATAGTTGGATCTTAAAATGTGGTTATCACGTGACATGTGACTGGTTGTTTTATTTTTCATCTTCCTCTTTTTCATTTTTTTCTTGTACTTCTATAAAACTTCTTAACATAAATAAATATATAGTGATTTAATACTAGACACTTAAAACAAGCCGGTAACTAAATATGGACCCAAACGTTAGTTTATTTGCAAATATCTCCCTCTGTTTTGATTCTTATAGGGGAAGATCCTTTTATTTGTTTCCAACTTTCCACCTAATTTAGAGATTTAAAGATTTCACACCCATCTCCAAAATAAATTAAAAGCAGCAGCAACAATCACCTTTTGGCACTGCAAAATTTAGGAATTCAGAATTTTAGTATTTGTAGCAAACTGAATTTCCTAAGAACCTCAGCTTCCTTATCAAAGATAACGCAACTTTTTAATCTTCACTAGGATTACAAGGCATAGTGCCTACGCAATGTCTGACATCTCCATCTCAAGGGAAGCTGCTACAAAAGGTAGGAGCTCTTATTTTGCATAGCTCCTCCCCCTTCTCTTCCATGAATTAGTAGAAGTAAAATAAATTCGGCGAAACGGCAAAGTGCTTGTCAAAATAAAATAGATTCAGTAAATTTGTTTTTTTGACATCACAACTTGGTTTTAACCCTTTGATCAACATTTATTTGTTTCCAGAAACATGAACACAGGTGTATGGGCTGAGAACTCTTGGTGTGAAGTCTCACTACTGCTGTCTGGTAAAAACCTCCTTGGTCTTAGATCTAGACAGGCATACCTCGTTTTATTGCGCTTTGCAGATATGGCAGGTTTTTTTTTTTTTTTACAAATTGAAGGTTTGTGGTAACCCTGCATTGAGCAAGTCAATCAGATGATGATTAGCATTTTTTAGCGATAAAGAGTTTTTAAATTAAGGTATGTACATTTTTTTTAGACATAATGCTATTGGACACTTAATAGACCACAGGATAGCATAAACATAACTTTTATATGTACTGGGAAACCAAAAAATTTGTGTGATTTGCTCTATTGTGGTATTTGCTTTATTGCAGCGGTCTGGAACCAAACCCGCCATATCTCCGAGGTATGCCTGTACATTTCTAGGACTCCAGCATATATGGGTTTGGCATGTATAGGCTTGGCATAAAACTGGGAATAACTCTCCAAAAACTTGTGAAATGAAAGCAAAGATAATGTACTTATATACTAGATACACTGGAGCATGTTTCCCAAACTTATGAAAGCTGAGACTTTTTTAAAAAATGAGGCTGAGAGGAATCATTCGCTCAGAGTCCACATGAGGCGCACTCAGAGCAGGACCTCATACAGAGCAGTAGCGGAGGAATTCCTTTAATGGCAGGAGATGTACGTGTGGCAGAGATGGCACCGTTACAAGGGAATGCTCAGAGCCCTGCAATAACAGCCTTTCAATACATTTATTTCTCTCAACATCCTAGGAATGAGTCAAGAGAAATATATTAGACATATGAGCTTTCCTAAGCCAGGTATACGTGTCTTTTGTGCCTCCTGAAAAAGGAGAATCTGGATCAGGGGATAAGCTTGAAGTCCTTATCACAAAATGTTTTGTTTTTCAATGTTTATATAATCCTGAGAGTATGAAGTAAGCTGCCTTGTAATGGTCACCCAACACCACTCACCGGCCTCATTCGCGAAATAGGAGAGACCGGCTATGTAGGCAGAGCAAATTACGCCAGAGTACTTTTGTCCCCCCATAGACAGAAGGAAAACACATCAAACTGGCTGTCAGGACGTGCCCCGCCTCTAGACGTTCTGGAGCCAGGCAAGGCAGAACCCAAGATTGTCCTTTTATTCCAGAAGTGAGCCCAGAGGAGCTGAGCTGAAAGAATGTGAGTGGTGGGACCTTGCTTTAGAGGTAGGGCCCATCTGTCTTTGCTGATATGGCAACCTTGCTGACGTAATGCAGCTGGCCTGCAGGAAATGCCAGGAATTCTCTCTGCTGCTGTTGTTCTCGTTCTGCTCAGTCCGTTACTCAATGATGACGGTAATGGCAAGGGCTGGGGGCTCCACCCTTTTCCCCATGTCACATGGCTGACTCTGAACTGGGTTGGCCATCTGCTCTGTTGCAAGTGGGGAGCTCAGAGGGGGAGGCTCCTGTGCTGGTGGGGGAGGCCCAGGGGCTCCCTCAGGATGGCTCTTACTCTTGTGCGCAGTGACATTGTCCTTCTTCTCAAACTTCTTGCCACAGAGGTCACAGGAGAACTGGTAGAAGGAGTCAGCATCGTGCTTTTTCATGTGCCAGTTCAAGGACGCTTTTTGGCGGCAGGTGAAACCGCAGATCTCACACCTAGGCAAAAAGGAAAGGGGATCACCAAGAGGGCTGCCAGAAACAGGTGATAAAGTCAGCTTTGGCTCTCCCCATCACCCTCCCCCCAAGAGAGAGGGGTTGTCTTTGTACGACAGGGTTGAGCAATTCTTTTGCTGACTCTGGCTAAAGGACTAAGTTGGTGAAGCACAGTAGACAATCAACACAACGTAAGATTGCCTGGGTTGCATCAGTTCCAATATCTCTGCTCCTTCTGTGGAAGATTGTTGGCTGTCTTTAAAAACCGTTAAGAGAAAATCAGAGCTTGAGCCACCATAAATATATACATTGGGGTGGGACTTAATTCCCCCATGCCCTCTCTGCAGTGTTTCATCCCTCTGTGTGCCTACATGGAGAGGGGATGAAAAGAAAAGTGCAGAAAGTCTCTCTAAAGCAGTGTTTTTCAACCTTGGCAATTTTAAGATGTGTGGACTTCAACTTCATGCTGGCTGGGGATGAAACTCCAACTCAGCATAGCCTATATCAGTGTTTCTCAACCTTGGCAACTTTAAGTTGTGTGGACTTCAACTTCATGCTGGCTGGGGATGAAACTCCAACTCAGCATAGCCTATATCAGTGTTTCTCAACCTTGGCAACTTTAAGTTGTG